TGAGAGCTAGACCTTGTACAGCAAGAATCTCCCAAGACAATGCTGTCTTGCAGAGCTGTTTTGGTCCTTTTGGAGACAGCCACCTTACCTTCCCTGGTGACACATAGACTACAGGAACTGTTCCTTCATTCTAATGTTTAACTTCTTCGGTTGATAAAATTATATTGTTTTTAGAGCCTCTAATTGTGAGATAAGTGCCTCAGTAAGTGACTCATCCTGTGCTTTTCCTTCCATCTCAAATGGTCACCAGATCCTGTACATTTCCAATCCTTCGTGTACTTTGGATCTATCGTTTCTTCTCTATTGTCATTACTTTTTAGATTATCCATTGCCATATCCCTTCTGAACTACTGAAAGAGCCTCACAACTGGTAATTATCCTTGTTCCAAACCATCCTCTGTAGCATTTCTCAAGCAATTTCTAAAAACATCAACCCAGTTGCTTCCTTTTTAAAATTCACCAACAGCCTCCATTTTCTTTTTGAATATACTCTAGACTCCTTGGTGACTGTGATCTGGCCATTTATCCTTTCTTCTTACTCACCATGAGTTTCAAAGATAATAACCCATCTGAAGTCCCCCAAACATACCTCAGCACTGTCTCTGGACTGTGTCTCACTGTCTTTTCCCAGTCCTGGCTGCCCTGTCCTCCGACTCATAGCCATCTCCTATCAGTCTGTTAGTAAAAGGAGGCCAGTGGGCAGTTCATGAGGAGATGATTAAGTAGGCCACCATGCTGAGTTAATTTTTCTTTTTGGTGAGGATCTCTAGTAAAAGACAGTGAGAGTCTCTTATTATCCCCCAGTGTACTGTATAATGTCTTCCTTTATTACTACGTGTCTTAGAGCCTTATTTATAGGCTTTATAATCAAGGAATTCATCACCAGAAATATATATTCTTTTCAGAGCTGTGAATTTTAGGTTGACTCCTAATCTAAGGCTGACCAGATTTTCTCTATTCTAGATATGAGCATTTTACAAAATATTAAGTGGACAAATATAGAAACAATGCAGGAGTACTTGGGGTGAGGGGGAGTCAAATATCATGAGACAGAAAGTTCCAAAAACAATGTCTTCTAATAAATGTAATATATAGATGTTTCACTGATTTATTATGTTTTTTTCAACAATTTTTTCTTTCTTTTTTATATGTAGTTTCATCTGCACCCTATTTTATCTAATCTGTGAAACTAGGGACGATTCCTCAATTTTGGTTTTGCAGAGAGCTTTGGATATGGTAGGCTTTCAGTAAATGTTGAATAGAAATCATGGTATCCTTTGCCCAGTGAAAAGTTGCAAGGTCTAGAGTATTTCACTTACTGTTATAAGAATGGATTCTTTATGTAAAAAAAAAATGAATGATTAATTTTCATGATCAATGCATTTTGAATAGGATTTCAGGAATCTTTTGATGTCTCAGTGGCAGCTGTGGATGGTGATGGCAAAGGCCAATTAACAGAGCTTGGGGCTTCCAACCTAAAGTTCAGCCCGAGCACCTCTACTTTCTTCTACTTCATTTATTTATTGATAGCATTTAATATAAAACTTGAACACATTTTTAAATCTCACACCCATTATCATTGTAATCTTCTGAAAGTGATATTTTTATTATTTCCTCTCACCTATAAAATGTTCTGATTCAATAGCCAGTTTCCAAGCAATTAAGGGAGTTGAAAGCACTGAGGGTTTTTTTACATTTGATTAAGGTTTATTAATCTGGGGTGTCTATAAATTTGCTAAGGGCAAAGCTGTATTCTATTTTTACTAAACTCTAATTCATATTCGGTACTTCCTGTGTTGTCTTTATCTCCAGTAGAAAATTACACAATTTTTTATATGATGTTGCATTAATAGAAAATAGAAAATACCTCAGATTAGCTTCTGTGGCTCTCAATACACTGAAATTACAGTATTATTGGACCTCCCTGGATTTTGGCATTTACTCTGGTAATAAAGAAGCATATATATTGCTTTCTCACAATTTTTTTAGAAAAATATTTTGGTGAATATATTTCAGTATGATGAATTTCTTTTGTAATTACTTTAAAACAAAATTTGCACCTTTAAAAATATTCTAAGGAGGGAGTTCTATGGAGAAAGGGGACTAGTGACAAAAAATGCTACCAACCAATGCTTTAGAGAGTGCCACAGCTGATCATTATTATGGGATGAGCAGGTGTACTGGCACAGAGGCTTTCCATACGTGAAAGCACTAGACCACAGCAGCTGCACCTGTTTGGCCAAAATTAGTGACATTTACTATGTGCTTTAACATTCAACTTCTGTGTGGCCCTGCCTTCTAGAAAATCATAACCCAATCACCCTCCTTGAAAAGAAGCTGTGTTTTGGTATTCTTATCCTTTGTTCTATTAGTTTATTTTTCTTGTGGCAACCCTGCACTAATTCAGAATTTAGATGTTCCACTGAGATTTATTTCTGTTCCTGTCCAGGTCCCTTCACTTGCTTGTCTAATACCATGACTTTCCTTGGTGATGCACCCCTTTTCTACCATCGGTTTCTGTGGTTAGAATAGGGCCAGTCCCACCTACATCCATGATGAAGATGATCCCTAAGTGGGATCATTTCCACTAGGTGACACTGACTAGCATGGAACACATTGAGCTGATGTGACAAAAATCTGGAATTTTACTAGGGAAAGAGTCACATTTCCTGCTCTGGCTTCAAAGAGAGAAGGCTGCGTGCCAAGGGTGAAGGCCCTCCTTCTCTTTGGAGAAAGAAGCTGCCTGAGAATAGAGTGGACACAGAAGTTAACAAATAAGAGATAGGAGAGGAAACCCTCAAGCCCCAGAATAAGGTTAAAACATGCCTGAAATCAATTCTACCCCTGGGCTATTCAAAAATGGGAGCTGGTTAAGGAGGTCATCAAGAAGCCCTGACCTCCATTTGACCTGAGAACTGAAAGTAGGCGGTAGGAGGCTTTTCACTCCTCCCCGTCCTTGGAATGCAATGGAGGTTAGATCACCACTCCCACCCTGTGCGCCATTCCAAGGATGCGGGTCTCAGGGTCTCAGAGAGGACTGTGCTATTGAGATCCTCTGGACTGTAGACAGGACTGAACCCAGGTAAGGCCTTTGTGTAAACTGTGAGATTCTGGCAGGTGAAGGGGAGATCTATTCATCTTAAGGCTGCTGAAGACAAGCCTCATGTGTAAGTTCCCTTGCTTATTAAACCCGCCACCTGCCCATCTGCAGTGCCCTTGCCTCTTCCTTGGGCTCTCCTTGCCATCCATGTCCAGGGGAAGTTTGTGAAGCAACAGAGCCACTGAATCTCTCTCTAGCTTTAGCCATTTTAAATGGCTTATATGACAAAGAATAATGATCTCAGTAAAGTTTATAATATAAACTTAGTAACTCAGTGCCTTTAAAAGGAAATAATTGAATAATTTTATGAAGTCATTCTTTTGTTAAATAAGCCACTGAGTGTAGTATAACTGGCATTGGTTGATCTCTGGGATATAAGCCCCATACGCATACTTGATGTATACAGCAACCATGGATACAATGAGAACATTTTACAGAGGAGTAAATATAAACAATTTCCAATATGAAGTCATTTACCTACATTAATAGAGAAAAACAGTGTTACAATTTCAGTTTGTTGGACTCTCAAGTCTGCGTTTCTCCATTATGCATTCTGAAACCAAAATATGTTATAAATTCTCCCTAGCATAAAATAAATATGGACAATTGGAATCAATACTTGTTCCATTGAGGACACAAAATGCTTCTGTCTCATCTCAAGATAGTAGCTTCTTCACACCTCTATTTTCTTTATTTCTTGCGGACACAGCATTATATATTTCCAAGCATCCATTACAGAAAGGTCTCAGATGTTTTAAAAGTGGAAGTTTGATGATTTAGGTTCTTGTGAGCAAGAACACATTGAAAATACAGGATCATTCTAATCCCTCTGGACTGCTATAACAGTCTGGTCATTTATAAACCACAGATACTTATTTTCACATTTCTGGAGACTAGAAGTCCAACATCAAGGCTCCAGCATGGCCACATTCTCACAAAGGCCCTCTTCCCAGTTTATAGCTGGTAACTTCCTGCTGTGTCCTCACTGGTGGAAGGCGCAAGGGATCTCTCTGGAGCCTCATTCATCATGGTTCCACCCTGACAACTTAAGCACCTCCCCAAGAGTCTACCAATGAATATAATCATTTTGGGGTTTAGAATGTCAACATATAAATTTGTAGGGAGACATAAATATTCAGACCATAGCAATGCCTCTTATAGATGCTGAAACACAATCATCAAGTGATTGCAAGTGGCTTACGTTTCCCGTGGAGCAGGGAATTTCTGCATCGCTGCAAGAAGTCATTTCTTACACTGACACTGTGTCTGTTGTGACTGGGTGACTGCAGCTGCAGCACTACAACGTGAAAGCATGCTGCAGTATGTGGCACACATAGGGAACACCTCTTGTTTGTGAAGATGAAGCACACCAGCTTGATCTTGGTGGAACCTGCATCCCCCATACATTCGCCTAGGCTACGTATCACTTTTCTCCTTTCCCATATTCTCAGATGACCTAAAATTGCCATCATGGGGTTAATTAATGAAGTGCAAACTGAGGATACTCCAGTCTGTAGGAAACCTGGGGGTTATAGTTGAGAAGCTTTTACACAGTTTAGTATTCTACTGGAAGGAAAAAAAGAAAACAAAACACCTTTCTCATGAATGTGCTGGGCATGAATCATTTCTTAGTATCTGGCTTGTGGGTTTTCTTGGAAGCATAATATCCGAGATTAGTATGCTCAGAAGAAAATAATTGAATTTGGACGTAATTAGGAAAGTTCACAGCTCAGGAAAGATTGGTGAGGAGATGGTGACAGAGGAAGCTCACTTGAATCAGTAATGCTTTCAGGAAGCAAGGGGAGAAGCTGAAGCCTTATCTGCGTGGTTACTGTTAAGAAGGATGTTGCAGTTAACACGTCTGCCTTTCTTGCAGGTGAATAACTCCAGGTTGTCCAGCATGATGGTCTTCATTTTCCTTGGTAAGTGATTCATGCTCCTAGTTTACTTGGATTCATAGCACCGTTTCTTCATGAACTGAATGCTGTCTTATCTGACTTAACTGTTGATTAAGCGAATGTACTTGTAACATGAAGTCTCAATTACCAATGGATACATTGGTATACAACAATTAACATGGTTTATTACTTTCTCAAAAATGTACACTTACTCTTTTATAAACTCTGGAGAAAATGCACAATGCAGGGATTGCATTAATCTCTCAGGTTGTTTCTATTTTATTGTATAGGATAATCCAGTTATTTTGAATTATTTCTTAGGATTTATGGAATTCACATAGATAGTAGAGCCTTTGAGAAATGAAACCTTCCAGTATCTATTTACAAGTTATATGATGGAAAATTTCAAATTATCTATTTGAAAATTTATCTATTTTCTTTGAAAGTGAATTAAATGATATTAATTTAAAGTATTCAATTCCATGACTTTTACAGTGTTCATATTTACTAAAGAGGAGTCATTTCATACAATAAAACAACTTAACATACCATCAGATGCTTCACATATTAGTTTTTGTTAGCTAGAGATGAGGTTTGGAATAATTCCTCTTGTGTTGGATAGTGTGAAGGTATCCTAAAGTACTGGTGGAAAAGAATTAATTTATACTTAAAGTAGAATCCATGAAGATCTATTTGCTATATGTATCATCGGAGAAGCTGTCCTATTTTCTTCAGAATTTAGTAGAATCTATAAAATAAATTCAGGAAAAAATAGTTATGATTATAGCTGAATATTAATATTCCATTCACTAAAACAGAGCCATTATTTTTTTTACACTAATAGATATTAGTGAGTAAAAAGTACTTGTGGGCAATAAAACAAAGAAGTTTATTCCAAATTATGTTGAACATAAATCAAGTCAAAAAAGGGGAGAAGGAATGGAATATTTTATATAATTCCAGTTTTTCTTTAGTTTTACTATTAGTTATTTACTATGCCAAAATTTTGCTTCTTGGATTTATTTTAACACTATTTCCTTATTTCTATTCTTGATTATAAAGAAAACTCTAGGAGATTTTAATTTTGTAGATAAGACAGCAATATAACAGAACACATAAAATATGTTACAACCTCATTATGGCTCCAGTTGAAAAAGCAAGGAGGGCCTCTTGTTTTCAAGTTTCCCTTCTAAATTAATTTGACACTAGGTTGCATGAAGAAGAAAATGATTTCTAACACTCTTTGGGTCAAAGCTATACTGTCTGGTAGGCTTAATATAGATTAAGATACTTGTTTAATAGCATCTAAATAGGTCTTAAGATGTGGGAAAGTTCTATAGCCAGAGAAATATAGGACATGGTGAATTTTTAAAATAGAACATGTCATATAATAAGACTTAAGAGGGGATATTAAGTGCAGCATTTTTTATCTTGTTATTTTAAAACAAGCCTTATTTTTCACTGAGCATTTCAAGAGAATCCTTGAAAACTCCTGGGTTAAATACATGGCCACAAATCATAGTAAGGAGTGACTGAGATTTTGGCAAGTTAAAGTTATTTTCATTCTTGTTGGCCAGATCACTGAGATAGTTTTCCTAGTAAATTTAGTATTTTATCCTATTGGAGGGTGTGGAAAATCATATAAAGTAAACAATCAAGTGGAACTTAAAATTTTAAAATATGGAAGAAAATGAAACAGATTTGAGAAAGATAATATGTAGAATTTATTAACCATCACTAGACAGAGGCACTGGTAATGTTTTGATGATGTATTCAGGATACTATCATGTATAACTCCTGAAGGAGCTATTCACAAGACACAATGATCAATGTCAAATAAAATTACAGTTTCTTTCTTTTTTTTAATGTTTATTTATTTTTGATAGGGAGAGAGAGAGAAGGAGGAGGAGCACGAGTAGAAGAGGGGCAGTGAGGGAGGGAGACATAGAATCCGAAGCAGGCTCCAGGCTCCTAGCTGTCAGCACAGAGCTCAATAGAGGGCTCAAACCTAAAAACTGTGAGATCATGACCTGAGCTAAAGTCAGTTGCTCAATCAACTGAGCCACCGTAGCACCCCCATAAAATTCCAGTTTCCTATGAGTTGAATTTCTGACATAAAATACTTCAGGGTCTTTGGAAAGCTGGATTCAAACAAGTAACTTTGGGCCAGAATCGAAGGGGCTCTCTTTCTCTTTCTCTAGACTTGCTAACCTAGGACAGGATTTTGGTTAAATGAGTTTAACAAATGAACACATGACAGAACAGAAGGCTGATATGTCAATTTTTACTCCAGCCCTCAACAAGAAAAATGTGACTGAGCCACACTCTTGGGCCTAATCTCCAAATGCAGTGACCCAGCAAGTAGTACATATGATCCATCCAATGAGTTGTCTTGGATTCTCCTTAGGAGAAGAGGTTTGAAAAGAGGTAAGATAAAGAAAAGATTTTAGGCTTTACTTGAAGCCCATAACTCTGCTTTGTCATAGGTGATACATAATTAACATCATCTTTTTAAAAGTTCAATCAATTTGACTTTAAGACCTAGTTTGAGATCTCCTGATTATAATTAATATATTGTCTCTGTAACTGGATTGCTATTGCCATATTTTTCTATGGATTGATTCAACAAGTATCACTTGGCATGCTTGCAGAATCATTTCAACTAATTTGCATAATATGATAAATTAGCATTGCTACTTTTTTGATATTTTTAGAAAATTTACTGGAAACTTTTCTATCCAACATAACTTGTAAATATCTGGAAGGTATTATTTTTATTATAGTATCAGCTACTTATTTATAACTTGTTCTTTTTTCTTTTAAGTTTATTTTGAGAGAGGCAGACAGCATGAATGGGGGAGGAGCAGAGAGAGAGAGGAAGAGAGAGAATCCCAAGCAGGTTCCATGCTGTCAGCACAGAGCCCAACACAGTGTTCCATCTCACAAACTGCAAAATCACAACCTGAGCTGAAATCAAGAGTCTTATGCTTAACCCACTGAGCCATCTAGGCACCCTTATAATTCATTCTTAAATAACTATTCAAGTTAGTGTAAGGCAACATATATACATAATGTCTCATTGTGTTTGATGATGAGGATAAGATTATGAATTACTTCCAGTGTCTGCCCAGTAAAACCCTAGAACCCCATGGTGGAGACAATCATATAAATACATATTTTCATTACAGAGCAGTAAAGATATGGTTGGGGAAATCCCAATATTCTAGTTAAATAAATGAGAGGCATTAAATCAATTTGGATATAAGAAGAGGGTATTGAATTCAGGGAAGGATTCCATAAAAGGTAATGATTGTGTTGAGTGTTAAAGGACCAAAAAAAAAAAAAAAAAAAGTTTTCAGGAGATAAAAAGGAGTACCTATTAATGAGTGTACAGTAAATACTCAGATATACAAGATAGCATGGAGCATCTGGGAAACAGTAAATGCTCAAGGATGTCTAGATTGCATGTAATAAGGAGTATAAGAGCTATGCTATGAGGAATCATCCAAGGGATGAAGCAGAGAAATGGCAGGACCAGAATGGTACAGTAGGCAGTTTAGGGGGTGTAAAGAACTCATGTGAGTATGATGAAACTGGAGGCAAATTGACTAATTGATGAGTTGGTCAAATATTCAAAATAAGAGTCAAGGAACTATGCACAAATGGATATAAGAGAGTGAAGTTGAGGATAAAAAAGGAGTCTGTAATGAATCCATGGCTTCTAGTGTGGGTGCTTCTGAGAACAGTGAAATTGACAAAGTAGGGCTGTCCACCAGGAAGTGGTGATGATAAAAAAGATTCTATAGTCTTGAAATGTGTCTAGAACACATTGGTTGACATAACAACAAATATAACTGGAATACTGAAAATAATGGGGTTGAATTATACTTTAGAGAATCATCAATCTAGAGATTTTAGTTAAAACCATTAAAATACATGGGATTGTACATAGAGGGTATAAAATGAGAATGGGAAGCATGTGAGGATAGACAATAAGCTAAAAATAGAGTTCAGCAGAAAAAGACAAGGATCATGGGAAGAGGCCTAACTATGGTCAGAAAATGTCAAATGAGTAAGTATCGAGAGAACTAGAAGAGCTGGTTGCCAAAGGTTGAGAGAGTTTTAAAAACAAAATAGCAACAAAATGTGCAATGATAAAAGTAGGCAAGATAAAGTGTTAAAACTATTAAGGTTGATATCATGGAGATGATTAGGGCAGTTTAGAGAGCAGTTTCAATAGAGCAATAGTCTTAAGAATATAAATTGAGGAATAAATATGCACCAAACAAAAGCACAAATCTAGACTCTTCATTTAAGAATCTTATAAAGTAGAAATACTGATCTATAGATAGAAGGGAGGTTAAGATCCATTCCAATCTTGTAATAATTTTATCAGATTATATTTTCCATACCACTGTTCTTTATCATCAATAACTTAGTTTTGAGGTAAATAACTGCCATATGGTCATATTGCAAACGTGTCCTTGTTGTTTTTGTTCTGTTGTTGTTATTTCAGCTATGGTGTTATGCTTGGAAAATGAATCCACTTCCCAAACCACTGATTGCACATATTTAAGACAGCAATGCCTAAGTGATATAAATGGATGTAAATATGCATGGAGAAAAATGGAAGATTCATGCAATGTTTCAGGTAAAATACATTCTTTAATTTTTTAAGTTTATTTACTTATTTAGTTTTGTGAGAGAGAGAGAAAGAAAGGGAGGGGGAGAGGAAGGGGCAGAACGAGAGGGAGAGAGAGTGAGAATTCCAAGCAGGCTCTGCACTGTCAGTACAGAGCCCCTGCAGGGTTCAAACCCATGAACCATGAGGTCATGACCAGAGCTGAAGTCACACCCTTAACCAACTGAGCCATGTAAGCATCCCAATAAAATACATTATTTAAAACACACACAATTGATTTCTTTTTTACTGAGATAAAAATAGGATTTGATATTTTCTTTCACTGCCCTGGGAACTGAGTTAGCTTTGCTCTAAACACCTTACTCAAACTTAATATTTATGTGATTTACCTTCAATTGCTTATTAGTGAATGTAGTAACAAGAACTCAAGAGTCTTAATGTGCTGTGGGGAAGTTTATGAAAGATTTCAATTTTTTTTTTACTTATCTCACCATGTACAATATTATAATTATATGCATGCTTGTCAGAAGCATGGCAAAAATTTTTCAAATGCATTTTGCTTATATATTAATATGTCAATAATAAAATAGGAAAAACAACATTTGTGATGATCAAAAGCATTGTTATTTATTCGCATGTGTATAATGTACATTTTTATATTCTTGCAACAGATATGCTGTCTTCCATTCCATCTGTGTCAAGAACAATTTAAAATATATTTTTATTTTTAACATTTCCTACATTCCAAACATTTGAGGAGAGTCCCAAGAGGTAGAGAATGTGAAGATGGGAGGATACTGTTACTTGTTTAAAAGAAAAGAAAACCTACTGAATATATCAATTAGTTGAATAAATATTGTATGGACCATTATAGTAGGACTCCATTCACTAATTATAGATAAATTGATTACATAGTGAGGCATTACCTTAATACTATTATCACAAACAATTCAAAAATTGTATTCTAATATAATTTATCAACCTGTATAATGGATATTATAAGATCATAAAAAGCTAATAAACTTTCTGGAATATTCAGTACAAAAAGTTGAAAAGGGAGTATAACAGATTCTTCCATGACTTAATTTCTCTAGTCATTTTGCAAAATGTGAAGTGTGTACTGCTCATGATTTTTGCCTATCTGTGTGGACAGCTTCTACATTACAAAACACAGAAGGGGAAGTAAGTTGGGCTCAAGAGGCAGCAACCTATAGTTCTGAGGGCCAACATTTACAATCTATGCCACCAGAACTCCTCCCCATCCACATGACCTCAAGGAATTACATAGGATGTAGAGGAAAAGAGAAAGATTTCCTTCTATGTCCTGCCCTTGAAGGGAGTATGTTCATACTCCAGAGTAAGTTATAGCTGTCTAACCCCCCATTCTTATTACAGTTCAGGAAAAAGAATTTTAAAAGCCTAATTTGCTCTAAGTAATACAATAATTTTTAGATGAGAATAGAAGACAGTGACAAAAAAATCTGTCATTTGTTTTGATGAAGAAGCTCCTTGTTACATTTTACAAAGCAATTTAAAATATCATATTTGGTGTCATGAATTATAACATGTACTTCAGTATACAAATAGCAAGTCATTTTCAGTGAATTGCAGTAATATTTGCATAATTATCTCATTCACAAGGTTGAAATCGAAATATTCTCAAATACATAAATGAAATGAACTCAAGTAATTTTATTCAAAAAATGAATAAAAGAAAATTGTTGGGTAGATGAATAGGATTTTGTAAATTAAAGCAGAAAATGAAATATTGATAATTATGAAAGACTCATTCAATAATGTTTATTGAGTGCTTACAAAGCGTCAGGACCACTTCATTTCTCATGATGAATTTTGAGCCACTTGCATGTCTCTTACTATAATCTTAGAATGACAAATACAACAGAAGATTATGACAAATAGCTAATAAAAATAGCCAAACTGACAAAATAGTTAAGATTATGGATCATTCTGGTCACCTCATATAAGGACAGTCTTGATTATTATTGAAGAGTAAAAATTGGCCTTCTAAGTGGGAACAGAGTCATTATAAGGTATAGCAAGCTTTAATCTATTTTAGAAAGTAAATACTGAGGGAAAAGATAGTAAAAATAGATTTTGTGTTGGGGCGCCTGGGTGGCTCAGTTAGTTAAGCATTTGACTTCAGCTCAGGTCATGATCTCATGATCCATGAGTTTGAGCCCTACATCAGGCTCAGCTCAGAGCCTGAAACCTTTGGATTCTGGGTCTCCCTCTCTCTCCGTCCCTCCTCCCCTCATGCTCTGTCTCCATCTCTCAAAAGTGAATACACATAAAAAATAGATTTTGTGCTTAAAAAGCCACTTACGTGGACATCTTGCAGCAGCCCCAGAAAGTCTTATTATAATAACGCATTTCTTAGATTAATATGTTAAAAGCATTTGGGGTAGGGCGATACTTAGTTTAATATCAGAAGTATTATGTTTGTAAAACCTAGGTAACCCTTGCAAGATGAAGGATTCATCAAACTGTAACTTGAATATCCAGTCCTTGGTGGAAAACAATTTCCAGTTTGAAGATTGTGTCTGCACTGATAACCTCTATTGTACTGTTAACAAACTGCTTGGGAAAAAATGCATCAATGAATCAGGTAATAACACATGATTATATGAAATATTATAGTCACAAAAAAGAGACAGTTTCAAAATTTACCAATTCTATGTAATTGGATTAAACCTCTCTCACTCTTTGTTAATTTGATCATTTTGTTGTGTAATTTAAAGTTCTGTGAGTCATAGATCTCAGTAAGTGCCTAACATGTATCTGTACTTGCTAACCACTATTTTAAGCTTCATTCTATTATAATTCATTAACATTATAGATTCACTCTCTCAGTTTATATATTTGTGGGACTCACTATGGCTTTACCAAGACCTAAACGATAGAAGACAAATAAAGTATCATTTCTATTTCTTAAAGAACTCAGTTTTCTGAGAAATTCCAAAATATAACCACTTATCTGGAATTATACTTGCCTTTGGATGGAGCATTTAATCATTTATGCACTTATTTAGGGCTACTCAAGGTGCCTGGTTGACACTGAAGTAGTGATAATCCAAGTAGTCTGCATGTGTCCTTGAGGATTCATAAAGATTTGCAAAGGCATGTGGAGGATGAAGTAGTTCTGAAGCAATCAGTTTCTAGATCCTCAATTTGTTGCATACTCTGAAAAGTGATCTGCCTGGGATGCAGCTGCTATCCTGGGGTTCTTGCTCTTCTTTCATAATCAACCTTCTCCCATTTTATAAGAAATAGGTTTACCTCTCATTTGTCATGAAGACTCCCATTATCCCACCTCTCAAATCACTCATGGTGAGCTAACTGGACAATTTTCTGTTCCATGCTTTTGCTTTTTCCAGAATTCCACATAAATTGAATTATATAACATGGAGCCTTTTGAGCCTGCCTGATATTTTAATTTAAAGTCATGCATTGTGATCCACTAATATTTCATGAACAAGTTTGTTGTCTGTTTTGAGTAGTACTGCATTGTATTGTTTATCTATTCACCACTGAAAGCATTTGCATTGTTTCCAGATTTTTAGAGATTATAAATAAAGCTGCTATAAATATTCACATATAAGACTCCTACAAATGTAAGTTTTTATGTCTCCATATTCTTGTTTGGCCACATGGTAAAGTGTATGTTTACCTTTATAAAAAGCTTCCATACTGTGCTCCAAATTTAATTTAACCATCAATGTGTAAAACTTTCACTTGTTCCACTTTCTCAGTAGCACTTGATTTTGCTTTTTGTTTTTATTTTGGGGCCTTTCCAAGATGTATTTGGTAGTGTCACATTATGATTTAAATTTCTACTTAATAATGTTGAACATATTTTCATGTGCTTATGTGTCATCTATATGCATTATTTGATAAAGCATCTCTTTAAAATTTTGCCCTTTTTAAATTTGAATTTTGGCTTTTTTATTGGGTTTTAAGAGTTGTGTCTCTGTATTGAGTAGGGTTTATCAGGATATGTGTTCTGTAAGTGACATTTTTCAGTCTATATCTTTTATTTCTTTAAGTGTATCTTTCAAAAAAAGAAGTTTGTTGTTTTTAAACTTTAATGATGTCCAGTTTATCATTTTTTCTTTTATAAATAATACCTTTGATGTTGCATCTAAGAAATTTTTAAAAATTTTTTAATATTTATTTATTTTTGAGAGGGAGAGAAAGAGACGGAGTGTGAGTGAGGAAGGGGCAGAGAGAGAGGTGGACACAGAATCTGAATCAGACTCAGGCTCTGAGCTGTGAGCACAGAGCCCACTGGGGGGCCCCAACACACAAACCGTGAGATCATGACCTGAGCTGAAGTCGGACACTCAGCTGATTGAGTCACCCAGGTGCCTCTCATCTATGAAATCTTTATCCAACCTCAAATCACAAATATATTTCTCATATGACCTAGTCATTAAGTAGTTTAGGTTTTGCATTCAGGTCTATGATACATTGTAAGTTAAGTTTTGTTTATGGTACAAATCATGGGTCTGATTCTTCTTTTTCTCCTCCCGCCCCATAGGGATATCCAATTGTTTTATCACATTTGCTGAAGAAACTACAGTTTTACCTTTCTCAAAATTCCTTTGGGCTATATATTAATGGCTTTATTGCTAAATTTTTCTGTCTTGTTCCAATCGCCTATATTTCTGTGCTTTTGCCAATACTCTTATTGTAGCTTTATGGGATGCCTTATAATCAAGCAGTGTTAATTCCTTTAACTTTGTTCTTTTTAAAAATTATTTGAATATTCTTTGACTTTCCATGTAAATTTAACAGTTTGTCAAATGCACAAAAATTTCTAGCATTTGGTTGGGTTTACTTTGAAACTTTAGATCACTTTGGGTAGAAGTGGTATCTTTACTATGTGAGTTTTCAAATACATGAACATGATGTATACCGCCATTTATTTAAGACTTTTTTGATTTCTTTTATCAGTACTTTGTAGTTTTCAGTATATACTTATTACACATATTGTATTAAAATTTATATAAAAATGCTTCACTTTTTGATGCTGTTGTAAATGGTAACTTTTTAATATTTTAATTTCTAATTGATTATACCTAATATATCAAAATAAAATTTAGAGATAGATAGATAGATAGATAGATAGATAGATAGGCCTTATATTCTAAAACTTGCTCAGCTCAGTTATTTGTTCTTGTATCTTTTATTTTGTAGAATCTATAGGATTGTCTACATAGACTTAAATATTCATATCTGCAAATACAGTTTTATTTCTTCCTTTCCAATCTGTAGGCCTCTATTTCTTTTCCTTGCTCTATTGTTCTGAGTAGGACCTCTGGAATAATGTTAAATAGGACTGCTAGGAGTGGCCATCCTTGCCTTTTACCTGTCTTGGGAGAAATGCATTCACTTTTGCACCATTAAGAATAGTTTTGGCAGTAAGTTCTTTGCACTTTGCACCCCACCCCCGCCTTTATCAGGCAGAGGAAATTCTTTCCTATACCCAGTTTGCTTAGAGATTTTATAAGGAATAGATAAGCAGATATTAAATTTCACAAATGCTTTTCTGCCTCTTTTGAAATGATAATGTTTTACATGTTTAGTTTTTTTAATGTGATGAATTATTTGTTGATTTTTGAGTGTTGGTTTAAGCCCTTCATTCTGAGGGTATTTACTACTCAGTCATGAAATGTTACTAATTTTATATGTTGCTGGATTCAATTTTCTAATATTTTGTTGAGGGTTTTTAATCTCTGTTCCTGAGGTATATTGGAATGCTGTTCTAACAGCATATTTATCTGATTTTGTGGTCTGGATAACACTGATTTTTTAAAAAAAATTTATTTAAAAAAATGTTTAGAGAGAGAGTATGTACGAGCGGGGAAGGGGAAGAGTGAGAGAGGTAGACAGCAAATCCAAGGCAGGCTCTAAGTGGTCAGCACATAGCCTGATGTGGGGCTTGAACTCATGACAAACTCATGAACTGTGAGATCACGACTGGAGCAGAAATCAAAAGTCGATACTTAACTTACTGAGCCACCCAAGTGCCCATGGATAATGCTGTTTTTAAAAATGATTTGGGAAGTATTTTATCCTCTTCTTTATTCTAGAAGAGTATACAAAGAAGTAGCATTGTTTTTTCCTTAAATGTTTAATTTAACTGACTAATGAGGATATCTGGGCATTCTTCATTGGAAGATTTAAAAATATTCAATGTGTTTGTCATAGAACAGTTTTACCTGCTTATTCCTTGGTGAGTTTGATAGTTTGTGTCTTTCAGTGAATTTTCCCAGATGTTGGATTTATATTGAATTTTTATTTTTAGGTGCTCCACTTTACCTTTTTTTCCTATATCTCTGCTAAGTTGTTCCTAATATTCCCAAATTGTCCTTTAAATATCTATAGGAGTTATAGTGATGTCCTCTCTTTCTTCCAGATGCTGGTAACTTATGTCTTCCTCTCTCTTTGTCTTGCTCTGTCTCTCAGTTTTGCTCTTTATTATTTTCTGTTGTTGTTGTGTTTAATTTGACTTGAAGTTGCTCTTCATTTTCTGGTTTAAGATAAAGGCTTATATCACTGACTTGAGATTTTTTTCCTCCTCTAAGCATTTCATTATATAAATGTCCTTCCATGTGCTGTTTTAGTTACATCCACAAATTTTATTATGTTGTATTTTCATTTGTATTCAGTTCACAATGGTTTCTCATTTCCCTTGTGACTTTCTCTTTGATTCACAGTTTATTTATAATACCATTGTGAACTTCCAAATACCTGAGGATTTCCCAGATAGCTTTATTTACTTTTAGCTCAGCTCTTTCTTTCTTTCTTTCTTTCTTTCTTTCTTTCTTTCTTTCTTTCTTTCTTTCTTTCTTTTACTTTTAGTTCAATTCTTAATTAAAATGGTAACTGCTAAGTATCACCTGTACATTGTGTTACATGCTAGGTGAAACACACACACACACACACACACACACACAGTGTTTGAAGTTATAGAGGATAAAATAATGGTGACTTAGAAGGTTCACAGAAGAAATGACAGACTTGTGACTTTTAGGGCAAATTGGGTCAATTACAGAGACAAAATGGATGTTCTAAACAGAGGAAATAGAATCAAGCAGAGCACATTCAAGGAGCAACAAATCCTTTGTTAAGCTGAACGTAGAGTATAAGGAGATGATGCTGGGAAGAAACCAGATGTTATAACAAGGAGGGAAGCTGAATTTATGTATCTTTCTAAAGGGATTAGACTTCAAAATGTTATTACAAGAGGCTATTAATGCATTTTAAACAGAAGAATCTAGAATGAGCTTTCAAAGCGTATCATTGGCAGGAGTGCAAAAGACAGGATGGAGGAGAGGGAAAATTTCAGGCCAGGGATATCGAATAATTTGAGAGAGAGGTGATATATGTGTAAATTAACACTCTGGTGCTGAGGATTATGAGAAGAAGACATAAGTAAGGTATATTTAGGCATTTACAATCAATGGAAATTGGTGACAGTTGGATATGAGGAGAATGAAATGTATGAAGCATGTTATACACATTGCTGGCTTGGGACAGAGTACTGAGACACACTGAGATAGGGAAGAAAGAATAAAGTACAGGATTGGGGATAGGAGTGAC